TCGGCACGTCGCGTGTCGTCTCTGCATCGTCGTTCTCCGTGTCTGTGGACTGTAACGCAGCAGTGCCGGCTTTGCTGTGCTACCACTGTTGCTGTTGGTGTCGGTGTTGGTGTTGGTGTTGCCACCACTGCCACTGCCACTGCCACTGCCGCGGGTGCTGGTGTTGCTGGGCGTCTGCTCCGGCCTCTGCTGCTTGGACTGCGCCTTGAAGTCGAGCGCGCGCTTGACCAGCGCCTCCGAGGGCCCCGTCTCCGGTGGCGAGCTGCACGGCTCCAGGCTGCCCGCGGCCGCGTCCAGCTTGAAGAACATGCGCGACTCCGGGTCCATGTACACGGCGCTCTTGGTGTCCAGCAGCCAGCCGCTCGTGCCGTCCAGCGTCCAGTTTGGGCGCGTCTTCACGGGCGATGGCACATCCGGCTGCGACTGCGACTGCGACTGCGACGACGCTGCCACTGGCTTTGTCAAGTGCGCGCGTTTGGCCAGTGGCTGGCCTGTACCCTCCTCGTCCATGGTTAGTTGGTTGGTTGGTTGGTTGGTTAGCGCGTCAGCTCAGCGCAAAGATCACTGCGGGGAGCAAGCAAGCAACGGCGAGCATCAACAACCATCAGCCATCAACGACGACGAACGCGCGCTGCTGATCGTGGAGATGCGAGCGGAACAAAACACGACAAGAAGCGCAGGGCGACAGAATAAAAAAAAATATTGTGTTCTTGCGCGTTGGTTGCAAATTGCGGTGGCGAAGTAGGAGCTGATGCGTTGCAAATTGCATGAGCGGTTATGGAACAGAAGCTGTGCTGATGATGGAGTTGGTGGTGGATCGTGCATGTGCGCGTGATTGTGCTGATGGTGGGAGTAAGTGAGCGTAACAGGCCATGTATGCCAGTGGCTGTAAGCGTGCAGTGGCATGAGGTTTTGTTGCATTACACTGTTTGCTCCCCTTCTCTTCTTTCACTCATCGCATTTATCCCATTCATCTCACGTCACTGACTATCACACGCATGCACACACACACACACACACACTTTTTCACGCACGCGCACATGCATCATGGCACCATGCAGGTTTGATTGAGTGCAGAACAGAAAAGACATGCACGCCATCACAGGAGCAACGAGTTGTAGCCGTGAAGTAGACGCAGGAGAGGAAGACCAAGGAAAAGAAGAAGCGAGGGAAAGAAGCGTTCACATCCAGGACCACGCACCTTGGCAACAGTGAAAGGTTGACCTTTGATACAGACCGCCACCATGGAGCGACACGACACGGCAGCTCACGCGAGCGTGAGCGAACACAAGGGCCTGGTGTTCCAAGTGAGTTTATATCTGTTTGCGTATTTGCGTGTTTGCGTGCTTTTGTTGGTGGAACGCCAACGTTCGAGGGACAGTGCGCGTGCAGCATCTCCGTTGTACCCCTGTTCCCCAATGCGCACGTCCACACACTGTCGCGCTCACGCATGCGAATCTTCACTGACAGAGCGCAGAGGAAGTGGCACACACGCTACGCCAGCGGTGCAAACGGTCGTTCTTCCGCCACGTCAGCCCGACTGGCGCAATGGAGGTCGTTGCAGCCGCAGCCAAGCAGGGGTTCGCCCCAAAAGGTGCGTGTGTGTATGTGTATGTGTATGTGTATGTATGTATGTGTGTATGTGTGCGTGTATGTGCGTCTGTGTGTGTGAATGTGTGCATGCGTGCATGCGTGTTTGTGTCTGTGCAAGGAGGTGGAGCAGTATTCGCACCCAAGTGTCTGTGTCGCATCTTGCAGTTCCTCACGTCTCTGGTTTACGTCTACCCCCTTTCCCCTGTTTAGACTACATCAACATTGGCAACGAGAACAACAAGACTGCGCTCATGTTTGCCTCGCAACTGAAGAACGGGCACGATCTGGTGCGATTTCTGCTCGAGCGCGGTGCAGAGCCAAACGCATCCACAAACCGCGGACACACCCCCGTCGTGTTTGCTGCAGGTGAGATTGGAAAATGTGTGTGTGTGTGTATGTGTGCGTGTGTACGTGTGTGAATGTGCTGTGGTGGAATCAAGATTATCAGTGTTCTACGCATGTACACACACACACACACACACACACACACACACACACACACACACACACACACACACACACACACACACACACACACACACACACACAACCCCGCCGCTGCTATCCCAGGCAAGGGCCGGGAAGAGACGCTGCGGGTGTTGTTTGAATTTGGCGGCCGCGTGCGTGTTCGTGTCGTGCGCGGGGACACACCCTTGTCCATCGCCAGCCCAAAGGTGAGCGAACATATGTGTGTGTGTGTGTGTGTGTGTGCGTTTGGTGGTGATGTGAACGTCTCTTCTTCCACCTGTTCTCATACCCCTTCCCACACCCCATCTTCACCTCCTTCGCGCCCTTAACTATACCATGATGACAGCTGTCGGCTGCAATGCGCGCTGAGCTGCAGCGGCGAGAGGAGAATGAGGACGAGGACTGGATGGACTTTACAGCAGACGAAAATGCCCAAATTGCACAGCAGGAACACGAGAAGACATGCAGGTTAGGCGAGGAGGTGTGTGTGTGTGTGTGTGTGTGTGTGTGTGTGTGTGTGTGTGTGTGTGTGTGTGTGTGTGTGTGTGTGTGTGTGTGTGTGTGTGTGTGTGTGTGCGTGTGTAAAGTTGACTCACTTGACGGGCACCACACTTCCGAAGCCGCTCATCACAACGTCACCACCACCACATGATACCACCGCACCACATCACATCACATCACATCACATCACATCACATCACATCACATCACATCACATCACATCACATCACATCACATCACATCACATCACCATCGTGACCACCCCCCCCCCTTTCAGGCACTGCCGCATACGTCTTGGATTGGAGCCGCGACCACGGACGTGGAAGCGACGGCGTACGTGGACCATGGGAGAGAATTGGGCCTGGTGGTGATGATGGTGATGGTGTTATGGTGATGATGGTGTTATGGTGATGGTGATGGTGTTATGGTGACGATGGTCTGATGGGAAGTACTCTTGTTGTGGTTGTTCTGGAGTGGAGGATACATGTAGGTGTGTGAGGACCACACATTGTCGCTGGATCAACCAATCACCACATCACCATCATCACATCATCATGGTGTACAGGTCCGCGTGTGGAGGATGCGTTTGAACACATGTCCATCGACGAACTCGGCGACGCGTTGAGGCGCGCACTGGCAGGCAGCGAGAACGATGACGACGACAATGAAGATGGTGGTGAGAATGGTGTCGATGATAACGATGAAGAAGATGACGATGAAGATGATGACGAATACAGGGATGACAAGGATGAACAAGGTGCCTACGATAACGAGGGTGCCGATGTTG